CAACTTCATCCACCTGGTTACCAACATGGGCTGCGATTTGCTGGATATGTCGCAGCTCATCATGGGCTTGCATGGAGAGGGGTAGGTGAAAGGTTTCATTGAGATTTTGGCTCCCAAGGAAGTTTCTAACTGAGATATCTTCAAGTTTGGCATAAGAAAATGCACGTGGGTGTGAATCAGCCAGAACCTCATCAAGCCAGAGGTCTTTCCACATCAGGACCGTGTCCCCCGAGTGAACAACCACATGGGAGATGCCTCGATAAGTTGGAGTAAGCTTGAGAATGTCTTTCCACCAGAATGAACCACACGGGTCTGAGGCATGAGGGATTTTGTCCACATAATAAGTAGACCAAATCAAGTCCACCCACGGCACATCCCAATGATTGTAGAATTTATGAAGGTATTTCATGAGTAACACATCGCTTTGGGTTTTAATGTCCAGGACCCCAAGGCCACCACAATCTTTAGGGCGACAAACCATTTGCCCGGAGGCCAGAGAGTTACATTTGTCTCCATAATCCGTTTTCTTTGTCCAAAGGGCTTTCCGTCTGATTTTGTCAAGAAGGTCAATGATCTTTGGCGGTAATTTCAGAGTGCACAGCGCAAAGATTATTAAGGACGTGATGATAGAATTCAACAATGACAATTTGCCTCCGTAAGATATCATTGACAAGGTGGAGGAGAGACGTCTTTCAATTCCACAGACAAGAGGCATAAGATCTTGCACCGTTGGTTTTGAGGTGCCCATGGGTAGGCCAAGGTAAGTGAAAGGCCTATCACACAACCAAAAATTTGAGCAATATGTTGAGCAGTGGCAGCATCACAATTCAGAGGAACAAGGGTTGACTTGTGGAAGTTAATTTTGAGTCCAATGGAGGTTGCATAATCCGTTAATATTTGCTTGACTAAGGTGGCTTGATCAGCACAGGCCGGTAGTAACATGATTGTATCGTCCGCGTACTGAATGACCGGATAGTCTGATTGGTTGGGTCTATTGAAAGGCAGTTTCAGATCATTTCTCCTGTAAGAATCATTTATAGCTGCTTGAAGTAGATCCGCAGCAAGGACAAAAATGAGGGGGGACAGGGGATCCCCCTGTCGAACACCACATTTGCAATGGAATTGTCGACCTGGCACTCCATTAAGTAGAACAGAGGATTTGCCCGAGGAGAAGATGTCTTTGATCCACCCCAACCACTTATCATTGAATCCCATGTTCTTCATAATTTCAATCATGGCCTCATGTTCTATGGTATCAAATGCTTTGGCGAAGTCCAACTTAAGCAAAACAATTGGTTGCTTAGAGTTTTGACACTGATATATATATTCGAACGCCCACGCCAGACAGTCTTGGATTGACCTCTTTTTCAGAAATCCGTACTGGTTGCGGTGTATGATCTTCAAAATTACTTTTTGCAACCGATTAGCCAGGAGTTTAGTGATGACTTTAAGACAGCAGATGGGTCGGAAGTCATTAACTCCTTGCGGTGCGGCAACTTTAGGAATGAGAGTAATATAACCATCATTAATGCTCTCAAGATTGAGACATCCCTCAAAAAACTGATCGCATAAAGCATAGAAGTCTTCTTTTATTATGTGCCAACAAGATTTGAGGAATGAGCCATTAAATCCATCCGGTCCAGGAGCCCTGTCGGCCGACATTTCTTTGATAACGAGGTCAATCTCCTGTCTTGTGAACGGAACAGTTAGAACGTCAAGACCATCAATCTTCTTAATAATGCTAGCAAGATTAAATTTCATCTCATGCTTGGATGAAGTACCCAGTCTTTCTTTAAAGGAGTGAAATAGAACAGACTCCTTGCTCGCATGATCTTCAGCAACCGTGCCATCTTGAAGAGTGAGAGATGCAATATTATTCCTTCTGTATCTTTCTGACGCCATGGCCTGAAAAAACTTGGAGTTCTCATCCCCAAAACGAACCCAGCGAATGGTGCACCTTTTCTTCCAATATTGTTTCTGGTATGATAGAAGTCTCAGAATGTGGGCTTTGAGGATAGATCGAAAATTGGTCTCAGGAATGGTGAGTCTCCTTTTGTTTTCAATTGCATCCAGATCGGACAAAGCCTTATTGGAGTTATTAATGGCAGTGGATAGGCGGGAGATGTTTTTACTCCAACGTTTCAGATATTGACGCAAGTGCTTGAATTTTCTGCAGAGTATAGTTGCGCTGTTGGTCACTCTAACTGGCTTATCCCAAGCTGCTTGGACAGTTTCCATGAAACCAGGGTGGTCAATCCAGTAAGACTCGAATCGGAAAAGTTTACTCCGTGGGATTGTTGTTTCGATTGTGACAACACACGGGATGTGGTCAGACACAGGTTTACCTAAGGGTTTAACAATGGTGTTGGGGTAAGCATGTGTCCAATTACAAGAAGTAAAGAACCAGTCTAGCTGTTCTAAAAGGGGATCTTGTTGCATGTTACTCCAAGTGAAAGTACGGCCCTTGATTGGTAATTCCACCAAACTTTGTGATCGTATGAAATCATTAAATGTGATCATATCGTTTACGTTCCCTCCTGGTTTATTACGGTTGTCTGGGCTGCGGATATAGTTGAAATCCCCCACAAGAAGCCAATCTTCATTCGACGGAATATTTAAGGAAAACAACCAATTGGTATAAGTGGTACGTGGGTCACCCTGGCAGGGTCCATAAATATTGACAAGAGTCCATGATTGTGAAGATTGTGTGGATTGGAATCTGATGACCAGGGCAAAATCCTCAGAAGCAATGACCGTGCCAGTAAAAACAGCACTATTCCAGATGGTGGCAATCCCACCCGAAGCCCCATTCGAAGGAATAAAAGCGAACTGATCAAAACGACGAGGGCAACATGATTTGATGAACGCATGATCAATAACTGGTTTCTTAGTTTCTCGTGTTTTGGATCTGCTGGGGGCATTGATCAGAAAATGGAAAATCCTATGTTCTGAGGCCCAGGGTGCTCTTTTTCTCCGGTGCTTAAGACTCTTGGATCATCGAAGAGGGGAGTTGCTTAGGATCGCCTGGAGCCAATGAGTAGCTGGGGCTGACTGGAAATAGGATACCTAGTTCTTAGCTTTGATCCTTTCTGTTATCCTATTCTAGATCGGTTCCTTTGCTCCAGAATAAAAGACTCCTCTGGTGAATGGTGATGTAATAGGATAGATTCAAAACCCTGGTTTGTGTTATCTGTGGCAGCTATTCTGGTTGTCGCTGAGCGATATTAACAGTCTGGTGAACTTGTGTGGTTTTGCCTTGCTTTAATAAAAAATTGGGGCGGGGGGAAACCCCTTTCGTTTCGAAAAAAAGGACACGTTGATTTGGCAGGATTCCGATGTTCACAAGGAACCAAATTCAAATGGGTTGACTTCTTTGTGATATTTAAATCAAATACTCAGTTTGAATACAAGTCAATTCATTTGAATTATTCTTGATCTTTATAAGTTATTCATTGCAAGAGTACTTGCTCGTGGGTACCAAGAAGTAGTACAATGAATAACTTCAACATACACAAATGGATGAAAGTTTAGGTGAAATTTGCACCAGCTGATTAGTTGAATGTCGATGGAGCTTATACGCCAGGAGTAGTTGCCCCGGGACCATCTCGGTGGCGGGCACAACTTAGAGCGGCGGCGGAAGCTATCGCTGACCTGGAGCGGTCATTAGGGGCGATACGCGTTCAAGTAGATTCTGATGCCCAGCTGCTAATATTTTCGCCCAACCAACAGGAAGGCGGATTCCACCAGCGGCCGAAAACTACTTCAAATGTATTCCCTCCGTTTCTAAATACCCCTCCGTCCGGAAATACTTGTCATCTAAATGGATAAAAGGAGATGTATCTAAGACAAGAATTTTGGGACGGAGGGAGTATTAGTGACTTCTTTTGATGTCAAGGTTCTCCATCTTTAATCAAGTATAGTATTTTTTTAAAAAACTTTGGCAACCTTTATTAAACGACGATCATATCTGTTACAAGAGGAGGAACAAGGAAATTAGGAGGTTTATCACACCACACCTCCGAATACTTCCTTGTGTAACTTGCTCGATCGCATGCGCAGCGGCATTGCTCTCCCTGGCACAATGAATGCACTATAGTTGCCCTGCCGAAAGAACTCATCATCTCCCGGCAGCCGTCGGTCATCACAGCTCCCGATTCACGATAATCCACTGTCTATCTTTAATCAAGTTTATTGAGAAAATACCAATATCAAACTAGTACCATTAGATTAATCAAAATATTTTTATATTTAATTTACTTGGTACTGTATGATGTTGGTACCGCCTCGTAATAAAACCGTGCTCTCTCCTCAACGTTCGTAGTACCAAATAATTTGTAAAGTGAGGGTACCTAATTCAGTGGGGAGAAGTTTGCCAAGCCAATTGTCGCCCATGTTTGGTAGGGCAAAGTTCACATGTCACTTGACCAACAAGCGCACAGATAGGACTACGAGAAACTCCAGGCAGCCACCACTGGTGGATTAGTCCCTCATCCCAGACCGCACATTGGTGTAACACGTTGTTTACCCTTCTGACAAACCAATGCGATAGCATCAATCAAAATTAAAAAATAAATAACCTGTCTCAGTTGAAGTTACATTGTAATGACCTAACACGAGTAACTAAGCACTCATTCTGTGAGCACATAAGAACCACAAACCATTGTCAGTAGCCTCAGTAAGCCGCCTAAGTGCGGTGTGCTGCGTGACCATCATCAGCACCCCACTTTAATTTCTAACCCGCCTAATATACAACCGGTGTTTACTCCATCGCAGTCCTTGTGTTCCAGCTTCTAATCTACAAATTGTACATCAGATGCAGCATCATCCACGACTTTGGCGTTCCTTTAGTAGCTGTAAACATCCACAAAGGTTACATGTCAATACCTACAGGAACTTAGGCCAGTGATCAGAAATCTAGGTTCAGTCGCAGCTCACATGGCCTGGAGGACTGGGGAAGTTCTTCCGACTATACCTGAGATATGCTGGCGATATTTTAAGCTTCAGACAGTCATCATTCTGCTTAAACGGGTGCCCTCGTTCTTATCAGGGGCAGGTCCTAGCGCTGTAATCACCTGCGGCATGGTCATTCCTCCAGAGACAATTATTTCTGTAGAGAGCATAATAGCAGAAACATAAGATTAGAAATTCAGGTGATATCCCTCCGTTCACAAATATAAGATGCTCTAACTTTTTTCTGAATCAGATGTATATAGACACGTTTTAATGTGTTTGTTCACTGATTTCAGTTCGTATGTAGTCCATATTGAAATATCCAAAACATCTTAGATTTGCAGACGGAGGGAGTTATTATAAAGACTATCATATCAAACTTAACGACCACAATAAGAGACATGCCCTCAAAATAATCTTATGCTGGATTGAGATGTTACAAATAAACTGCCAGCAAGAAAATAACAAGAACATATAGTATTCGCAAGTGTTGATAGGATTTAGCATTTAAAGGAGCTGTTATAGAAGGCATTGAATTATTCTCTTTTGGACAGAACAGCGGAAATGATAAGGAGCTTAAAAGGGGATAGTCAAAATAAAACTAACCTATCCCTTCTCGAATGGACAGATTGGGCCTTATAATTTCCGCAGAGTTCACCAAAAAGATATCACCAATATATAGATGATTGGTTGGCACATAGACACTACACAGTTCTTCATCACCTTTGTCAGTCTGCAATGCAATGATAGATGATTACATCAGAATCCAACAAAAACAAAGTATATTGACTCACCATTAACATGCTAACCATGTGGACATAGACAATTAGGTATCACATAGTTCATCGCTTCTGTCAGTGTTGATCCTGGACAAAACAACAGAAAACAAGAAAGGACAAAGGTCCCTTGACTATCTGTAGCAGTTGTCCTTAATGTAACTTGATAAATAATTCTTTACAACATTTTCTAGAGCTCAAGACCTGAAGTACCGTATGTTTTGACGCGTCCTATGATTGATTGGACATGCTTAGTTTTGTTCTTATTTGGCCTTATGCAAACTTACCAGCAAATAATCTTTCATCTTTGAGACAGAGCCAAGTGAGTCTATATTTGGCCTTGTGACTCCAATGTGTAAATGCCCCCCATAAACTTGAAGCAGCTCTAGCTGGCCTTTTCAGGGTTTCCACAACAAATTTATGTACGAGAGAGGAGTGACTGATTTAAAAGCACCTTATATAGAGATTATAGGTTAATCCCGATAAGCTGACTACTAAGATAAGCCCAGCCAGGCCACATTAGGCTTAGTCTTTAATTGTTTTCGGTGAATCTTTACACTCTTGAGATATAAAAGGGTTTAGATATCACAAATCGCAACTAATGGGTGACACTTTCCTGAAAGTGAACTATTTCATGCATGAGGCAACACAGAAAAAGAGCACACACAAGTACGGTGTGAATCTTTGTGTAGCTCATTATTCTCGAAAGCATATAAATGAGTAAATTATCTTGAATGAAGCATTCAAATTCGGTTGATGCTGTCAATCCATCTGTAGAAAGCGATTTGCATAAACAAGTACCTGAAGAATCATGCTCGATGTTATGAACCCAAATGCGTATTCACCAGCACGGGGATGGCTAATTATTGCCACTTCTTTAAATGCTGCTGTATTTTGATCTGTCAAATGAATAAAATGTATTATAAGAATTTTTTCTGGTTGGGCAGAAGGAACTACAAGTAAGTTGGAACATAAAGATTTCAATCAAACCAGTTTGTCAATGATGTGGTGCATAGAAACAGCAAACATGCTGTTGTCGCAACATTCATATGGTCTTCATGTGGATTATCCTATTAACTTCATAAGCTCATGTAACTTAAAAAAAACTAGTGGCCTATAAATGTGTTTCTTTGAGAAGTACTGGTACTTATATAATGTTTTACCCGACTAAGAAGTTATGGGTTTGTATATATATACGCCATCCACTGACACTTTTCTTCAAGAAAAAGTTATGCACTAACAATGAAAATCATACATGACGGAAATTTAAGAAAGAACGAACATAGTTGTCAGATATTCTGGAGCACTCCAGATGATCATAAATTACCTGGTGAAACAGCAGTACTAACTTGCTTTGATGCAGAATATATGTGCCTTACAAATGGCATTTTCTTTATAAACCATTCTCCAACCCAGAAGACAGTTGAGCCCACCCATGATGACACAAATATTCCAACAATAAATATGAATACCAGAGATGTCACAAACCCAAGGCCTGGAATCAAGAAAAATTGTAGTACTCAGTATAGAGCAAATCATGAATATTTGTCAGTAGAACTAAGTAATGACAGTTTGTTTTTAATAGCCTGAGGCTGCTTTTTCCTCATGTACTCAATGATTTCAAAGGATCTCAGTAACTGGCACCATCAGGAGCTCGGTACAATTTTTTCCATCGTACAACTAACGAGAGCAGTATATATAAACTAAAAAGCCTTAGCAGTCCCACAGAAACAAGCACATCTCTCTGAACTCAAATTTGCATGTGATAGATCCTTTTGGAGATTAAATCTAGATCAAACACAAGCAAGGAGCCAACGGAGAAAAAAAAAGTAGGCTAACTAAGTCTGCACCACTATATGGCATACAAATAGAGTAAATATGTACTCCCTCTGTAAAGAAATATAAGAGCGCTGTGATCTAAACGCTCTTATATTTCTTTACGGAGGGAGTATTACTGTTTGTCTGATACTACAATTTTACCATGACCAGCAAGTGGCTAGACATGAGTATTTGTGGAACAATTACCAAATACATCGACTCCAAGCTTTGCATAGAGTGGACTGAAAAATCCATCAAAAAATCGAATAAACCACCAAGTGATGAAGAATGTCACAGCCATTGGGAAAATAACTACACTGCAAACAAAAAAGAGAATATTAGGCATCTATAATTTACAGGTCTCGCAACTTCTATGAATCAGTTCTTGCAAAGCATACCATCCAGTCATAAATTTTCTTGACACCCAGCTTTGAAGGACCGCAAAGCATGCCTATTGAATTAGCAGGTTAGGTATGAAATAACTAGTTGGAAAAGATATAGCGTAGCATGCAGAGAAAGTACAGCTCATTCAGGTAAAATGAGAGAACAGAACAAGAACGTACAGTAACAATACTGGGTCCAAGTGTTGTCTACTTTGATCGAACAATCTTTATACTCTAGTGCCTAATAATCGATGGTTTACTAAACAACACTTCAAGATGGAGCATATGTACAGATAACCAAAATATTTAAGCAGTATGATTGCCCAGAGGATGCTGTCAAGTTTTAGTGTCAGTTGATGAGTTTGGGGTTCCAAAGACCTAATAATACGGGGCAGTTAACTAATTGCAGTTGTCAAATTCCTATTGTTAGTTGCATTTGCATATTCTCCAACAGAACTATGACCTGCAGAGCCAGTACTCATATGCATTTGCTATTTATGAGAATAAAGCAAATGCGTATACCGCACGTTCAATATCATGATCAAACCAAGCACATAGTGTTATAGGAGGTCATTCAGACACATGCAAGATGACCACATCTAAACTTCATTAAATTCACTTTTGCCGGGTTATAAAACCTGCGGCGTGCATCCTGAATAGTAGGTTTGTCGAACACAGGCATCTGGCTGGAGCTCCGCAGTAAGACAGCCTACACAGGTATCTCTACCTCCAACAGGACTCGCACTGACACTGATGTGGTCAATTTCTCCGACTGTTTACGGCATAGACATCTGATCAATATTACACAAATACGCATGACAGAGTAAGCAGACCTCCAATGCAACCATGGAAACCCTTATAGTCAACCTTGGCGACAACCCCAGTAGGCAGACGGCAGGCAGAAGCCTTGGATTCGATCAAACGGCGGCAGCGCTGAGGCGCGGCCAGATCCGAGCAAGCAACTAGATGGGTTCCGGTAACTCTAAGCCCCGCCGCGTCGTGGGGGACTACAGGGAGTGGCAAGGCAGATCGATCCGTATCGCACCTGGCGGGTGGAGGTGGCCGGCGAGGTGGGGCGCGGCGGCGACTTGACGGGGTCCTCGGGGTCCGCGGGCTCCGGCGCCTGGCCCATGGGCACGGCGACGTACTCCTTCTCCTCCGGCATTGCGGCGGAGGGTTCTGGCGGGGTCGAGGCGGGCGGGAGGGGAGGAGGAGGGCGACGGCGACGGTTTCGGTAGCTAGTGTGACGGCAGCAGCTGCAGCGGAAAGAGGAGGAGGCGGTTGGTGGCGGAGTACGCTGGGGGGAGGGGACGCGTCGTGGAGTGACCGAACTGCCCCACGCTACCGTGTTGTACCCGTGGGGCCCGTGCGGTTGGACGTGACGTGGGGTCCACGTGTCACTGAACGTGGGTCCCGGGAGATAGCGTGGGCCCAGCTGTGGGAGGAGGAGGAGGCGTAGCGGACGGCGGACGCTGCGGGTGGCGGCGAGGGTCATGGTCAAATCCGTCGCGCGCGCGGTCGGTCGTCGGCGATTGACTCGGTTCACTCTGTTCATTTGAAAACCGAACCGAAAAACCATACCGAAAATAAAATGAACCAAACCGATTTTATGGTTTTTATGGTTTCTGGTTTCGGTATAGTATGAATTTTTCATACCGATTTGAACTTTGATTTTTATGGTATATACCGATAAACCGAACAGTTAACAGAATAAACCGAAGTAAAAAATAAATTTATATTTCTTGAGATGAAGAACCATACAAGTTGTCGTTTTTCTTGTACATGAGTCAAATTCACTACTAAGCACGTAATTTTTTCTTGTAACATACTCATTTTTCTTTTTTTTAAATGCTAAGCACGTCCATAACCATCAACAGATGAATCAATTCATGCATATATACTTATATATATAGTCATATACTATGTAAAATAGTATGTGTTTTGCGTCATAAATTTGTAAATTATTATTACGTCATTTTTAAATTCGCGTCAACTTTGGTTTTTATGGTATATACCGAAACCATACCGAAATAGTTTGGTATATACCGAAACCGAACCGTATTTTATTTTCATACCGTATTTATCAAAGTATTAATACCGTACAAACCGAAAAACCGTATAAACCGAACCATGTAAACCGAATAAACCGAACACACAGGGTGAGACTCGGTCCTGGTTTTATCCGTGGGTCGACTGTTTGTTCGATGTTTCTGAGTCGACGGGCCGTGTTCTACTGTTTGCGTTTGGGCCGGCGTGCCCAACCAGTCAGTCCATTTGGGCCTCCGGTTTTGTAATATATATGGCGTAGTAAAGGGAATTGTATGCCTCAAAAAGAAAAGTAGAGGGAATTGTATGCGATTGTATATATACACAATAAAAAGATGTTGGCTTGATAAAATCTCTGCTGTTATGCAAGAATTATCATGGGTGCCCAGATCCTGCTAATAATTATCGATCGGAAGGTGTTACGAACATATCCGCATATTATTAAAGTCACAGGTTCACTAACTAGCGGTGTGTAGGAGGACTAGAAGGTCATAGAGAATGAGAGGACGGGCTCCGAAATATTTCGGATGATCTCGGAAGTGTTCTAGGATGTCCGGGAGCATCCCGGATTTACCTATAATGCCCTGGAAGGTGCTAAAGCTTCTGAAAGACCACGAAATGTTCTCGAACATTCAAGAATATTATGAAGGGTCCCTAGTGACTAGTGAGCCGCCCCCTATGCCTTGAGGGGCAAGGTGCCACATGGACCCAAATTGGTCACCTGCCACATGACTTGTGGGGCAAGCCACCCGAGAGGTGGATACTAGGATGACTCCTCTTCTAGGTCGGTTGAACCAAGGAAGGATCCCCTCCCCAAGTAGATCATCCTTATTTCCCATCCACCTACACATGAGAGGTGGGAGCGCACCATGGACAGACAAAAAGGCCTTGGAAGGCGACCACCCTTGCCCTATGCCCTCTCTCTTGCCCTGAGCCCTCTCACTTTCTCTGATCTAGACTGACTACGGATTGTTACATCGCTAGGCTATCTCTCCTTCTAGTTTTCGCAGTACCTCTTTGTGTTAATCCATGAAGTGCCTCTAGATCAGTACACGTGGATACCTTGGAGGTGTCGTCTACTTCTACACTAGATCGGCTGATCATCCTGGAGAAAATTCTCGCAACCGGGAGGCATAACCTAGCTGCAAGAATAGGCGAGCTTCATCAACTCTTCTTCCTCAACTTTCGTTGGGTGAGATGACCGTCACTTGTGCCTCCTTAGTATTCATGAGATTGACGTGAGTGAATAGTCTTTTTTGTTGCATAGCACGCTCCCCTACAGAGAACAAATCTCCTACCCCCTCCACCCTCCCTAAAGAGAAATTAGCAGGTGTCAACATTTAGATTGCTAAACTAGGCAACCCATTTACCCACTGCTAGTACTAGGATTGGATCGATATCTCGATGATGCGAGCTTGATGCTAGATACACTTATACTTAAGGTTTTGATGGGTTGAGACGTGATACAACAACTAAAAGCATTTCCTGCGCTTCATAGCACAGCGGCTGCCCTGAATGCCATACAATGGATATTTTGGCAATAGCGCGTTGATTGTCCATGGATGCTTTACATGCTCGAGGCCCATTTTTCAACGTATTTTCTTCTTTTAATTTGTATTTATTTTTAGGTTTCTATTTTTGTTTTGCTTTTCTTTTTTCCACCTACCTTTTTCATTTCTCTTATTTTCCCTACTTGTATAAATATGTTTGACAAAGACATACACATTTTTTAACTCCTGAACACTTTTTAAAATTAAGAAAAATTGTAAAATGTGTGAACACTTTTAAAAATTTATACAAACATTTTTCCTAAAATGTGTGAAACCTTTTTTGTAAAATTACATGATGTTTTGCTTAATTAAAAATTTGAGAAAATAGGTGAACATTTTTTATATGAAAAATCTCTAAAATTACACGAACATAATTTTAGTCACGTGAACATTTGTTTTGAAAGGTATCCACGTGAACTTTATCAAAAATTCGTGGACAGTTTTAAATAAACTTGATTTTTTTTCTTCTTATAATTAAATGATTATGTAAATAAATAAATAATATATTCATTTGAACATAGAAAAAGAAATCAAATTCATGGGTCGTACCAAACCAGCCCATTAGCATCTGCTGTAGCCGTGCGATCGTAATGCTCGCTATAGGAGCAACATAGCAGTGCTGACTGCCAGTTCTAAATAAAACGAAGTGCCCACTGCCTACTTCCTGTCGTCTAGTTGGATATCAATTTGTTGGCTCATTTGTTTCTGGGTTGAGTAGTGGTCACTTGTTGGGCCTTGCTGTGGCGGTTGATAGTTTTTTCTTCTTCTTGTTTTATTTGCATTTGTGGCACTCATTTGACTGGCTAGGATTGCTGTTGTGCGAACAAGTGACATGAACGGGGACACATGTGACCACATGATACAAAGCGGACGCTCAACCATTGACAACCGTGGTTGGGTGACGTGAGAGCCGTACGAGCTCTCTGAGCAACTCGTTTCTATCGATCTTAAAGAAGAGAAAGGCTCAAACTCTCGCGCGCTGACCAAAGGGCCCAATCGCGGGGATGACGAAGTCAAAATGGTGAATTTAAAGATATGACCTCTAAGGTTTATATTATGTGCCATCACTAAAGTCACTATGGCACAATAAGTATAGTTGTCAATTCATCTTTTCACGGATGCGGTGGCGCCTGCTAGACATAGGGTGCCAAATCTCTCGTGTTTTAGTCTCAAGGTATACCTGATATTCAATGGTATTATGTGAATTATTAGCTAGTACTTTTTGTTAGTTTGATAAGAAGTACTCTCTCCATTCACTTTTTAAGTCATTTCAGTCAACTAAAATTAAGCTGTTTTGCACGCTGTCTGAAGTGTCTACAACGCCTTATAAAAATGAACAGAGAGAGTAGTTGATTATGCTTTAAGGAAAAAAGATGTGAGGCAACACCCATGGCTTAAACACCTAACTAAAGTTCTAGCATTTTAACTTCTTCCACCCTGTTACGACTTGCAACGCTCAAACCATTCCCGAGCTAAGAGTATAGTGCTCATAGCCTCGTACAAAAGAGCCAAATACTACAAACAATGTATATATATCCAACCACTTTTTAAATGTACATCATAAAGAGCCAAAACATAATTTTGGTCGGTTTTGCTAATCCTCAGTTGTTTGAAACTTTCTTTCACGTCTATTGATTTTGGATGAATATCTTCGAGGGGCCTAGACGATGGTGCCGCAATGGATAGAAGCGCCCCCGAAGTAGCTCCGGGTTGATGTGGCAACATTGCCATTGCTGGAGGAGAGTTCGAGGTTTGATAGATGGCCGGGAGCGACGTCAGCGCATGGGAGGCACCGGCTCGCCTAGGCGAGGCAGGCAGTTGGGAGATGGTACATGAGAAGGAGGAAGAGTTCATCGAGAAATAGAGAAATAAGTGAACATGAATCTGACTAGAAGGAGGTAGAGGAAGGATGGCCCTACCATTTATTTCGTATGCGTCTCACAGGAATCAGGATGGTTTTTTTTAGACAAGTCATACGTGTCTCCAATTTTGGTCCATTTTAGCATTCAATCAACAACTTGGCTTTTGAACCGATCTGTGTTTGGATGGCTAGAGGTACATTGGTATCCCCAACCCACCAGGGTTCAAGTCCTGGTGTTCGCATTATTCCTGAATTTATTTCAGGATTTTCGGCAACGCGCTTTCAGCGGGAGGAGACGTTCCCGTCGACAACGAGGCGCCTACCGCGACTTTGTAAATCTCAAGATGATATGCCGGCTCAGTTTTCCGGAGGTGCTCGTAGGATAGGGTATGCGTTTGTGCGTTCATAGGGATGAGTGTATGCGCGTATGTGCGAGCGTTTGGGTCTGTACTGCGTTAAAGAAAAACAACTTGCCTTTTTCTTTCTCCAACTGTGAATAACCTTTCTTTATTTTTCTTTGAAAAAGGTCTATGCCAGGATATTATCAGATCAGCGTAGCGACAAAAAACGCGAGGAGATGCTGGTCTAAAACCAAACCTTCCTTCGTCTTCATTTAAAAGGAAAAGGGAAACCTGATTTTCAACATCAACAAAGCGAAAGAACGAACATGAACATTACAGTGCTGCGGTGTGGCGTGCTCTGGCTTCCAGCACGCGCGCATGTTCAAGTGTTGAACGGCACGGCATCACACCATCGGCGCACGTCTGAGCTAGCTCTCCCAGTGTCACGGCAACTCTTTTCTTCAAGCAGAAAAGTAAACAAGAAACGGACCACTATTGAGGTGGCGGCGGATACTGGTTCGAACCGGACCACGAGCCCGTGGTCGCCGGGTAGGTCCATGCAGTCTCCGCGGGCCATGCCCACTGCGCCGCGTCGCCGTGCTCCGCCGCCGCGCCGCCGTAACCCGAAGCAGAGGACGCAGAGGACGGCACGGAGGCCACCGTCACAGAGGACTCCGGGAACGAGTAGGACCCCGAAGAGGAGCCACTGATGCCGCCGCCGCCGCCGCCGCCGTAGTACGGCGGGAACCCGCCACCCCCTGCGCGCAGAAGCATCTGGTACTGCAAGTAGTCCGAGACGGCGCTGGCGGGGTAGGCGGCCGCCGAGGAGGCCATCGTCGGCGCTGCGCTCGCGGTGGGTGCCGGGGCGGTGAGGCGCGCGTCCTCGGGGAAGTTGAGCTTGGCGCGGCTGCCGCGGAAGCGGAGCGCGGCCTCGTCGTAGGCGCGCGCGGCGGCCTCGGCGGTCTCGAAGGTGCCGAGCCACACGCGGGCGGCCTTGTGCGGGTCGCGGATCTCTGCGGCCCACTTGCCCCACGGCCTCTGCCTCACGCCGCGGTACCGCCGCTCCGGCACGCTCGCCTGCTCCGCGGCCGCCGCCTCGCCGCCGCCGCCGGCGTACGTGTGCGGGTACTGCTCCCCCATGGCTGCGTTCTGCACGTCCGGGCTCCGCTCCTGTCCTGCCGAGCAAGAAGAAGAAGATGATGGTCTATATAAGCGCGAGAGGCCAGCACGCACCATTTGACTGTATGAAAGGGCGGCTGACTATACGGTTATACGTACGTACACATATTTTTGTTTTCATATAATGTAGCGAGAGATGCGTTCATCTGTGTCGACCGGCTGCGTGCACGTGGAGTGCGTTCCTACCGTTCATGTGCTGGTATACATCGGGGAGGTGGTATATTTGTTGTGTTGCACGAGTGCATTGAACAAAGCATATACTCCCTCCGTCCGAAAATACTTGCCATTAAAATGAACAAAAAGGATGCATCTAGGATTAAAATACATCTAGATACATCCCCTTTCATTCATTTTAATGACAAGTATTTCCGGACGGAGGGAGTACTAGTTTGGTAGGAGTATTCTCTCATTTTTCCTTCTCTCTATTTAGATTTTTTAGCTCAGTCAAATGATATAGTAGTATATAAAAAAAAAGAAAAATGAGAAAAAAAATCTTGTATGAATCTCCATGAAGATGGCACGAACATAGCATTCACTGGGACATAACGAAATGCAAAATTTGCGGTCAATAACGGTCGTTGCGTGTAGTGCATGCATGGCAGTGGTTCTGACGTAGCACTCTGTCTTTTCTTTGTTTATCATGGGGCTGACGTGGCACTCCTGTCGTTGCAAGCAAAGGGATTCCATGGAACACACCAGAACACTTATACTAGGGGGCACGTCACAAACAGTTTGATTAACCACCAGCACCAGCTTTAGATTCCTCATGACTAACACATGCACGGGAAAAAAACAGTTCACAATAATAAACACAAACTTCACGGAAAAAACAAAGAAACCAAAGGAAAAAAGAGGCAAAAGCGTTACTAATGTCGGAACGTGGTGACACCGACCTGCAAGCGCAAACATTCTCCTCTCACAATAAACAACGAGCGAGCGGAACGAGTCTCAATCCTCACCTGCTGCGAGCTGATCCGGTGTCGGCGCGGCGGGATAGTAGCCTCCCTGCGCATGCACGTAGCCCCCCATTGCCGGGTGGTCCTCCCAGCCGTCGTCGGCCCAACGGCCGTCGCCGCCGGACACGACCCTCGCGAGCGCCGACACCATCGTCGACATCTCCTGCGCCTGGTACTCGCCGGATAGCACCGAGCCTGCCGCCGCCTCCCCGCCGTCGCCATCCTGCTCCCGCCCCGCCATCCCGTACCACGCTCGCGAGCCCGGTAATGCCGCCGTCGCCGCCGCTCGCATGCAGCACGCGATCGTTCGAGTGGCTCGCTAGCTCGCTAGCTAACTAGTTCGAGTTCAAAGTACTCTCAACTTGGATCCACTAGCTGGCTAGTTCGAGTTCAGCTTCACGAGGGGGACTGGCCGCTATATATACACGCGCGCACGCAGGCATGAGATCAGGGATGGAGGACGAGTACTTGAGTAGACCAGACGAAGAAGAAGATGTAATGCGCTCGTTCGAGCGGGAGCTACGGTGTCCACGCTAAGCTAGAGCGAGCTGAGCACTAGCTAGCTGAGCTAAGCGGGCAGAGAGCCGCCAAAAATAGGCGTGGTTCAGATTTGGACCGAGTCTCGCGCTGACCACGTACTGTCCCTTCAGAGCAAGTGGGCAACGATCGACGACCCATCAGACGGCCGGTGATGAGATCTGGAGAGAG